CCCCCCCCCCCCCCCCCGGGGCTTAAAGCAAGGGAGACAAATTTCATAGGGAGAATAACATGGAAATTCAAAGCGGCAGTGAGAAAATGAGAAATGCTAGCGGCCAGCAAGGTGAAAATGAGCAGCGGTGAAAAATAAAAGCAAACATGAACACAGGAAACAAAATATTGGGTAAACACATACAACAATTCCTCCATAAAAATAATGTGTAACTAGGAAGTTTGACGTTTTAGTTAGACAAAAAAGTGTGCTGCACATGCAAATTTTCTTTTTGCTAATTAGAAGAAAAAGTGTGCTGCACGTGCAATTTGTCTTTTTGCTTATTAGATCTATTAGTCTTCAAGCCATTTTCATTGTCGTCTCCGTTTAACATTACACGATTTAATTTTTTTTGTTTATAAGTATTATTAACCAGAGCTTCGCTTATAACCCTGGCTAAATCTATATAGGACGCTAGGGATTATGAAAGGTTGACATCTTTACAGCAACATTTAAGCAAACTAACACAACGAAACCTTAAACAAATGTTGGTAAAATTATTCTTATTTTTTTTAGACAACAACAATATCATTTTTAAAGGCACAATAAATATTTTTAATCAGTGCACTTTTTGTATGATGAAAACCTTTCATCATTACATTAAATATATACATATAATACAATGAAACCAAAAACATATAGCTTATATATGCCAAAAATGAAATGTTATTTGGGTCATTAGTCAAGGAGTATGTAATAATCTGTTGATTGTCGCAGAATAAAACAAGTCTTTGATGTTAACCGTTTGATAATGTTATATCTGTGAGTAAAACATGGCTAGAATTCTGACTCCAAGATAGTGAGAAGTTTCACACATGGTTGAAGTTGGTTGTCTTGCTCACATGCACTTTGCATCCTGCAACAGAAAAAAACCAGAATCATGAGTGCAAAGCAAACAACTCTCTGGGTTTGACCTTCAAGATACAAGAGGTGCTACTCAAATTTTATTTTATATTTCAACATTATAAAAGACGGAAAATCTACAAACTGCTCTACCCGCAAATGGCAGGGCTAATCTAGGTGGGCAAAGCAAATCAGATAGGTTGTAACACTCTGAAATAAATAGGAATTTAATTAATAAAATTAAATCTAGCAAGATAACATAAAGGCTAAAGAAGGCATGCAGTTGCCCGGTGGATAAATGCCGGTTTACTGGGCAGGAGACCACTGTTCAACCCTCATGGTACTATATAATTTCATTTTATGGAGGATGCAAAAAAACCATGAAGAGATTTTCTCTCTCTTTCTGAACTTGGATATGACTCTTGAAAAAATTCAGTTTCTGGAAGAGTTCCTCTACATTTGGCGAAGTGAGTAAGTTTGAGTTATAGTTATATTATGGTTAAGACTGAAAGAATGCAAACTAACTGTTTACTTTAAGTGATGTTTTCACTGCTTTCACTGTCCTCAGATATTAAGATCCTTATTCTTACAGTGAGGTAAATATCTCTCTTGGGACAAGGACTGCATCCTACAGGCAACAGTAATGGCATTTGTGGGTTCCTGTGTGGCAAGACTGGGGGCAAACACTGGAGTCGGGTTTGAAAAATTACTTCAAAGCAGTTGAGGTGGAGTTAAGCACAATTCCCCTTAGTATTATAGGAGGCTTTTGTTGAATTTGGGAGGACTACACTTGCAGGGACATATTTGAAGAATGTTAAGGTATGATATATTAATCACCTTACCTTTCTATTAGATCTTTGCATTTTTCTTGAGTAAGACTATTTTTTAGGTTTGTAAGGGCTTTCTTGCATTGCACAGCCAAAGCTTTAAAGCACTGTTCCTTGCTCTTGTTATGTGATGGATTATCCCAATTTGGCATGCCATCCACATATGACCAAGCCATAAGGACATAGCTTAGTGATAATTCCCACAGCTGTAAATCTAACAGAGTCTGTCCTTGGCCCACACACTCTTTCTGAAATAATGACAGTAAAAAATAAATATTTCAGATACAATAAAGGAGCCACAAGCTATCCTTAAATAATTTTGTTACCCTCCATGTTTTATGGTACAGCATACATGTAAAACAGATTCTCAGACTCTTGTTTTTATGGCAAATTATTCTATCTGTGATAGTTTTACCTTTTAGAAATGGCACATGTAGAACCAGGGCACCATTTTAGTTAGACAAGTTTAGTTGGAGAAAAGTTGTTCAGCTTCACAATGGTAATCTATGGTATTTTATCTATCATGTCTGTTTACTTATCATGTTTGATAATTACTGGTAGGAGTGCTTCAGGGGCACCCAACGACGGTTTCCTCCCAAATACATTTAAAAGACAGAAGTCAGAAGTCGCCAGATTAACTTGCTTCCCTGTATCCCACAGACAGAGGTATATTCACAGATCAAAAAAATTTGATCACTGAGTTCTAACCCTACTCACATATTTTTCGGTCACCCCAAAAGTGCAACTTGCTAATGAAAAGTCTGGTCTTGCCATAAGGGGAGCAGGAGAGAAGGAGGGAGGCGGGGGGGTACTGTAGATTGGCTCCAATTATTACTAGCAATATTATTGCTAGTTTGCATGTGACATCACGGTGGCCATGCTGGTGGTCAAGAATAAAAGCAGTTCTTTCTTTTGGGAGCTCAACTCTGTTTTCATGTGAATTCTTTGGGAAAAAATTCCACTGTATTGACCCAGAAGCATATAACCCCGTTTCGGGGCAATATGCTTCTGATTGACCCCAACATGGCCACCTTGTCACGTGATTGCAAACCAAGAAATTCTCATCAAGATTTATACAGCTTTCTTGAGTCCTTCAAGGAAAGATTGCTATTGCTACTCTTGCCTATACAAATTCAGCAATCAGGAAAACAAGAATTATAGAACAATTTACGTCTGAAAAATGCGCACACATTACCTTGAAGGCTGCTAGGTGGGTGTTGACGCGCCGATAGCAAAAAGTATTGCTTGAGGAACCGTAACGCGAGTGCGGGAATGATTTGTATATCTTTCGCTGTAAATAATTCAGTTTTTTTTCCATTTCCGTAAGATCAGGCTCCGGGATTAGACCTTGAAGTTCCTTTAAGAGAAATAAAACGGTTTGCTTAGCAACTAGACTGCGCCTTTAACTTTCAAAGAATAATAAGCTAGCTAAATAACCATAACAATGTCTGACTTGCAAATATGGCTTTTGTTCTGCATCAATGGCGCCCTCTGAATTTAAAGCTCGAGTTGCCATTTCAAGCTCACATTGTGAAAAGTTTAAATGAAATAAATACCTGCTCGAGGTCTGGATGTCTTTCTGTGACTAATGCGTTGAACAAATCGACCAGTTGTACTTTCGAGAGACCGTACAGGGTCCTTGAAAGCTCGGAAGAAGAAGAGTCGCTGTTTCGCGGGCTTCCTTCAAGTCGAAATCTCCTTCGTTTCTGAGCGCTTGCTTTAAGTCTAGGTTCGCTCTCAGGAGTCATAAACACTGAGTTAGCCTCTCCTTCCACTTCGCGTCCACTTTTGTTGCTTGAGTCCTCTTCAGAGCTCATGTTTTCGAGCGTTTCGGTGGAAGATTGGACGAATCTATGCAAGGAGGCTTGTTTGGCTGTTCGCTTCCTCCGCAAGCTCGGAGCCTCGAAAGAAACAAAAATGTCCCTCTCTGGAGAACTCTCGTGGCCGTTCAGCGAAGAAATAGAGGTCAGATTTGTGATATCTTTCATTACAGACATAATCAGGAGGCAAACGCCACAAATTTTGGAGGAAACGAGAAGAAAGATCCTTCCAGTCAGACAAGCAATATGCGAATGAACGCCATCTGGCTTTTGTTTCGCTTAAAAGCGCGGTTGCTTGGGTCACAATACTAACCATCTAAGGTTGGAGCAAAGGTATTTCATTTTAACCTTACCTTGCTAGCACTTTTCCCTTTCCCCTTCTCTAAACGAGTTTATTGTGCAGTCAGTAGTTTAAGAGAAAAACTAGCCAGCGAAGCAAATGGTTTTTGGTGTGTTCCTCGTTCGTATTTCAAAAAGTAGAGGTTTCTCTCTGCGTTTTTCCTCTCGCCCTACCCCTACCATTTTCTTTGTGGCCTTAATCTAGCCTCGCGCGGGCTTTGTCTCTGGCTTTTATACGGACTACAAACAAAAAACACACAAGAAAAACCGCCTGTTACGCAGGTTTGAGAAACAAAAGAATATGAAACGCAGACTTCTTAAAATTTTAAATGTCAAACAAGAAGTTGAAACAAAAATTGAACTAAACAAAAAGCGTTAACTGAAGGAAAAAATTCCCGCGCAGGAATTGCGACCGAAAGCTGATTTCGTGGATGATATAATCGAATCCCGTGAAATCTCGTAAGCCGCGCGCGAGCACTTGTAACGGTTCAAAACAAAAGAACTGATCTCCAAACTTGCATTTCGAGGACAGAGATGAAAGCTTCCAAGAAAAAAGTTCCCAGTAAGTACATACATATATCGAGTAGGAGGTCCTGTATCTAACCGGATTTTTGATAACGTTATCGACAAATTGACCTTTTGCGTCGAACAGTTTTTTTCGGCCAAAAACTATCTCAAAAGTAGCTATTATAAAAACTAAGAGTGCAACCATTGCTTTTTTTTCTTCTCCTCCTTTCACTTCTCCTCGCTCTTTCTTTTACTCCTTTCCTTTTCCTTCGTTACTATGATTTTGGAGATTCTCGGGCTGAGGAAACATGCTAGCCTGCGAACGGAAGACGTTTCTCCTCGCTCGTCGCCGCTGAGGGACGTCGTCGATGAGCGAGCAGAGACGTCTGCCGTTCGCAGGCTAGAAACATGCCTTTTGACGCTTTTTTACTCAAATGACTGCAAATCTCGTTAGGTTGGTTTTCAAAAAATCGTCTAGATATATTTTTTTTTCTTCAAAAAGGAGACTTTCGTAATTTTTTTACGGGATATAAGAATATCCGGTTGCACTAAAATCTGTTTTCTTCTCTTTTTTTCAGCTAAGGGACACGTTCAAAACTGCAAAAAGGCAAATAACACAAAGGAAACCAACAAAAGTTCAGCTAGATCATCTTCACTGCAATCAAACTCGAAAAAAGCCAGCGCCGAAGGTTCAGGACAAGGACCTTCAAGCGCAGTGCAAACTGCAGCAGGTAGGAAACTTGGATCATTCTTGAAGTGTTTACTGTCTCGATCGAAGATGCTTTATACCGTTTGGGTATGGAATGGAATGGTATATTTACTAACTGTGCTGTGGGCTGTGCAAGTTCTGTAAATTACCTAAACAACCCCTTGGAAGAAGGCGTGGTTATATTATTGCGACTACCATAACGAGTATGAAAAGACGTTTTTCAAGGGCCTCAGAAAGCCACTTGACATACAACTCCTACTTTCAACAAGTGCTGCACAGCAACAGATATTAGGAATTAGAGTTGTAAGGGTTCCCCATTTCCAGTGGGTTTTCTCATTGCGTTTTTAAGTACATCAATGGCATGACTTTACTGCACTGCACTTGATTTTGATTTGTCGCCATTAAGCGGCAAGTTTTCCTCAGTTCCTGAGTGTGGTCGCTTATTAGAATTTCGACTGTTAACATACATTCTCGTATGGTCTCCCTCAGGAGGCAAATAAAGTCCGAGCCACGCCCAGGCTGATAGGCTTCTGTCAGTGTTTCGAGCAAGTCCCCGATCCAACTAGTAAAGTCCTCTATGACTGGTGTAGTTATAATTAAATTTCGATCCTGCTTGCTAAAGAGCCTACAGCAACTCACTGGTTAGAGCGTCCGAACTAAGGGTCTTGAGTTCGGTTTTCACCTGGAGCTCGGAATTTTTTCTCGGCTTTCTGGTTTTAGAATTCTTCTTCGTCCAAAAAAATATACATATTTTTTATTTTCGGAGGAGTATTCCGGTCCCTTCACTATGAAGCCCCCTAGGAGAGGTCCGAAGGCCTTTGAGGAGACCAGTATTAGTCTTAGGGACACCACGAAATTGGGGCCATTCCCGGTCCAATTGCGAACTCCAGGATATCAAAAAATCTTACGGGTGACTCGGTACAAGGGGCGATAGAAACTTCTTTATGGTATGTCCGTTTAATCTAACTAATTAGGCTGACCTTTAACCAGCGCTTCTTTGCAAATTTAGATGAACGTCGCCTTAGAAAGCTCAAAGTATTTCTTAAAAGCGTCTCATACAATGGATGCGAGGGAGCAAGCTTGCCAAATCTGAACGATCTGTACGTGGACCAGCTTCTGGTGGACGAATTCCCGTGCAAGGAGCTCTCGAAAACCGAGGAGTTCAAGTGCAATCCTACACCATTTATCCTAGCGAGTTGTTTTAATAGAAATCAAGTAAAGGACACCTCTAACAATAATATGGGAAATAAAACAACGAAAAGGGCCCCGAGGAAAGCAAACTTTACTCCTCGAAAGAGAAACACGCAGAATGTTAATTCACCAAAAACACCGAAGCAAGACTCGCCTCTTCAGTTAAGTAAGCTTCAACAAATAAGGTCACCGCTCAGCGCTGAGAAGACAAATCCCGCTAGAAGACTTTTTACAGAAGAACAGTTTGACAAAATAAAGAATGTTACACCGAGAAAGGAGGAAAGCTTAGCGAAAGAAAAACCAGCAGCAGGAAAAATAAGTGAGAATAAAAGAAAAGATCAAAAGTAGGTTGAAAGGAACAAAACCACAATAAATATAGCAAGCTGTGTTAGTCATGAACATACCTTTAAAATGTTTTATTTTAGACAGCGATTCTGTTAATTTAATTGTGTAAAACGAAGGATTCTATTATTTAGACTATTTTTAGCAGACGGGGATATAAATAAATTATGTGCAAGGAAACAACCTTTACAAGTAAATCGAGTCATCTTTTTCGTGAAAGAACCTGGTGATAATGTCCTTGCTTCATTGCGATTTTGTGTCGGAGGGCTTCGACGATCAAGGCGATGATTCAGTAAGATTCTGAAAGTCAGGAAGCCACGAAGAGACTCTTTTCCTCATCTCGGTCCTTCTGACTTCTCTTTCTTTTTCTAATCTTTTCATTGGTATGTATTTCTTCCAATATATCAAAGCCTTTTTCTTCAGTCGCCTACAAAAAAGANATTCACCAAAAACACCGAAGCAAGACTCGCCTCTTCAGTTAAGTAAGCTTCAACAAATGAGGTCACCGCTCAGCGCTGAGAAGCCAAACCCCGCTAGAAGACTTTTTACAGAAGAACAGTGTGACAAAATAAAGAATGTTACACCGAGAAAGGAGGAAAGCTTAGCGAAAGAAAAACCAGCACCAGGAAAAATAAGTGAGAATAAAAGAAAAGATCAAAAGTAGGTTGAAAGGAACAAAACCACAATAAATATGGCAAGCTGTGTTAGTCATGAACATACCTTTAAAATGTTTTATTTTAGACAGCGATTCTGTTAATTTAATTGTGTAAAACGAAGGATTCTATTATTTAGACTATTTTTAGCAGACGGGGATATAAATAAATTATGTGCAAGGAAACAACCTTTACAAGTAAATCGAGTCATCTTTTTCGTGAAAGAACCTGGTGATAATGTCCTTGCTTCATTGCGATTTTGTGTCGGAGGGCTTCGACGATCAAGGCGATGATTCAGTAAGATTCTGAAAGTCAGGAAGCCACGAAGAGACTCTTTTCCTCATCTCGGTCCTTCTGACTTCTCTTTCTTTTTCTAATCTTTTCATTGGTATGTATTTCTTCCAATATATCAAAGCCTTTTTCTTCAGTCGCCTACAAAAAAGACAGACAGTATAACTAAAAATTAGAAGTGCAGCAAAACAGATTAGAGAGGGCACCAAGAAGGTATCGGCCAACGTCTACGTTTAAGGGCCTGTTTACATGGAGGTGGGGGACCCCAGATAGGTTAGGTAACATGTGGCGGGTCACCCCACCTATCATGTAAACGTGATCAAATTAAACTGAGAGATTGTATGGACCGGTGTGTTACCCCACCTAAGCGGGTTACCTCATCTACCTGAGGTACCCCACCTCCATGTAAACATACACTAAGGTATAGATGTTAAGTGGTTTCAAAGAAGAGAGAAAGAGAGAACAAAACGAAACAAAACAACAACAACAACAACAAAAACAAACAAACGAAACAAATGCATTATGAGACAGAATTTTTTCAGTATCATATCTGCTCTCTCGCTCCCAGGCGCCATCATCGCGCGAACAGAGGGGGCAGGGGACCATGGGACGATACAACGTGCGCCGTGTGATAGCTGCACCAACATTCGTGGCTGGATTCTGATTTGAAATGTCTCTTCGAGGTCAAAGATGTAAGGTGGACTGCTCAACAAAAGCGAAACGTGTCTTCCTCACATGCTTTTTTTGGGTTGTTGGTCGAGAGGTCGCCATCTTTTTTTTTTATGGTGAGCGAAAACCTTAGAATAGTTGAATTTTTTTTCGTGGGGAGGGGGGGGGGGAAGTGAATGCAGATATGGGGGTGACTGACCCCTTCCCCCCAGGGTATGGCGCTCGTTTTTTTTTTATACGAAATCAAGAAAGCAGTGATCTAAATCGACCGCCACACAGACAAATAGGGGATCGCGAACAATAAAGTATGCTTCCGTTATAATTTCTGGTTTCTCTATTTTCATATTGCTACATTACCATTCATTGTGTTCCTCTGCTTGTCTCTCCTTGTCCCATAACAAGATCTGTTGTTCCGTCACATAATCTTGCCAGTATTTAAAGTATTTTTTGACAAGTAAGGATGAGCAATAGTCTTCTGCTACAAGCTGAAGTCTGACAGCGTGTTGACCATACTAAACATAAAAGAAACCTTTGTCAAGAAAGAAGTAATACCCCAACAGCCCTAATATCAACACACAAATTCTCTAGACAGATCTCCATACATTTCCTTAAAGAATCAGTTGAGAGAATTTGATCAAAGATCGAAGTATTTTCTGTTTGGTGATCACTTCATTAAACCCCATAACCTCTTCTCTCTTGTTGATGCAGTGATGATGTTACGAGGAAATTGATGTTGGTCATTCCCTTAAACGGCTAATCGCCGTGTCAAGAGCGTTGAAAAAATGAAATTAGGGAGCTGACGCAATAACGACGGCAACAGCAGCCTAAACGCCACCCAAAAAGTGAATTAGCGCTGCTTCAAACTTCCTCGCTCTTAATTCCAACTCTTTTCATTTGTCAGACTTTGGCGACTTTTTCAAGGGTTGAATTCAAAAGAACTGTATCTAAGTTCACAAAAAGAGTTGACACAAAGAAAATCGTTTTCTTGTGCTCACGTCCTCCACAAAATGTGAAATTAGCTAGTTTCACGTCGAAGTTGTGCGACGACGTGAAAGAAATGCACCTCTACAGTTGTTGTTTTGCAAATCTAAACCTATGGAGTGTTTTCACTCACGTGGCAAGCATCTGATATGTGATCCCCTACCTGGGAAACACGTATCCCTAGTGATATGTGTTTCCCCACCTGGGAAACACGTATCCCTAGTGATATGTGTTCCCCCACCTGGGAAACACATATCCCTAGTGATATGTGTTCCCCTACCAGGGAAACACATATCCCTAGTGATATGTGTTCCCCTACCCGGGAAACACGTATCCCTAGTGATATGTGTTCCCCCACCTGGAAAACACGTATCCCTAGTGATATGTGTTCCCCCACCTGGAAAACACGTATCCCTAGTGATATGTGTTTCCCCACCTGGGAAACACGTATCCCTAGTGATAAGTGTTCCCCTACCTGGGAAACACGTATCCCTTGTGATATGTGTTCCCCCACCTGGGAAACACATATCCATAGTGATATGTGTTCCCCTACCTGGGAAACACGTATCCCTAGTGATATGTGTTCCCCCACCTGGAAAACAC